CCAACTGTCAGCAACTAACAACGCGAGGGAAAAAGCGGGACTAAGCCTACAAGTACAACCACTCTGACTGCTTCGACCATGTGGCTCTGACGCTGTTACATGCATTTGATGCTCGCGTTGATGTCGACGCTGATGGGGTTGCACCCATTGAGGAGAGTTTCTCTGTGCATTTTGCTGCAGATGATGATAGGAGTAAGCTTAACAAATACTCGTACCAAAACATTTACGGAAGTTCATAATAGAAAAGCATCTAGTTGATTTTGAGGTTAAATACGTACGTTTATATATATTCCGTATTTTGAAATTCATAGTAGTAAAAGTTTTTTACATTGGCAATATAGGCATTTTGGCAGAAATTTCAAAAAAATTCGTAAATCTGAAAAGTTAGTTACCGTATTTTTCGGTGTATAAGTCGCGTTTTTTTTCTGAATTTTTCGTGGCTGCATCTTATACAACGATGCGACTTATATACATTCAAAATCGACTTGGATGCCACGGCTTGGGTGGCGCTGTTTACATCAAGTGGGCATCAAAATGGCGTCTACCGCGCTTCACCGCCTTCTGCGATGCACAGAAACCACATTTAAAAACAAAGTAAGATTAACGGTAAGTTAACACCCTAAAGATAACGCAGCTATGTAGTTTTGCACAAAAAGATAATCAGAGGGGTGAAAATGGGGAGGTATTTTTTAAATTATAAATTATGGAAAGCAAGTTTGGATTTCAGAGCCACTTCCTTTACCGTCACTTCCGTCCGCCATAACGTCTTCATTGCACTCGCTGTGTCGCTGTTGCTGCGCGCGTCTCGTGTGTTGTGTTGTGCGTCGTAGCATAGAGCCGGTAGCGCCGTAGAACCTCGCGAACCATGGCGCCGCTTGGAAAGCAAAGTCGGCGAAGCTATGACGCCAAGTTCAAGCTGCGCGCTGTTGAATTTGCCGAAAACCACGGGAACAGAGAAGCAGGGAGGCAATTCGACGTCAGTGAAAAAATAATCCGTGACTGGCGCAAAGCCCACAGCGTCCTCCGGACGAAGTCGACAAAGAAGGCCAACCGCGGCAAGAAGGCGTGCTGGCCGGACCTCGAGCGTAGCCTGCGCACGTGGGTACTTCGACAACGAGCCGAAGGAAGAGGGCTGTCAACAGTGCAGCTGCGCCTGAAGGCGAAAGCTCTGGCAGCGGAGAGCAATGTTACGGGATTCAATGGTGGTCCGTCGTGGTGTTTCCGCTTTATGCGACGGAATCAGCTGGTTATGAGAGCCCGGACGACAGTGTGCCAGAAGCTGTCCGACGACTTTCAGGCGCAACTGGACAACTTCAGCTGATTCGTGAGGGAGAAAGTTGCGAAGAAGAATGTCAGCGCGAGCCACATCATTAACATGGATGAAGTGCCGCTGACATTCGACATCCCGCTTGGGAGAAGCATCGCCGAAAAAGGCCAGAAAACTGTCACGGTGAGGACAACAGGCCACGAGAAGTCCCACTTCACCGTTGTGCTCGCCTGCTGCGCGGACGGCACAAAGCTGCCTCCCATGCTAATATTTAGGCGGAAAACCTTGCCGAAGGATAATTTCCCTCCACAGTGGTGATTCATGCGAACACAAAAGGTTGGATGGACGAGGGAATGATGAGTGTGTGGCTTGACCGCTGTTTTTCCCGTCGACCAGACGGATTCTTCCACGTGAAGCCAGGAATGCTGGTAATGGACAGTATGTGGGCACATATCACCGATATTGTCAAGAAAAAGATCAGTTCAAAGAACTGTATGCCAGTGATTATTCTCGGCGGCATGACGAAGATGCTTCAGCCGCTTGACATTTCTGTCAACCGCAGCTTCAAGGCAGTTCTGCGACGTTCGTGGGAAACGTGGATGTCGGAGGGAGAACACCGCTTCACAAAAACGGGGCGCATGAGACGCGCAGAGTTCGGCGAAGTGGCGAAATGGGTGAGTGACGCTTGGGAGTCAATTTCTGCGAAGACCATTGTGGCGGGCTTTCGCAAGGCCGGTTTGATCCCCTGCGTGGCCGATGGCGACGTTGAAGAGTCCGATTCGAGCGAGTCGGAGGACGACAGTGATGTGCCAGCAGTACTGCAACCAGAAGTAGCTGCATTGTTCGTGAGCGACTCTGAGGAAGACGACTTCGATGGCTTTGAATAAACGTCACCAAGCTATCGGAATAATAAAGGTACTTCTGAAAGTATTGTTTTTATGTGTGTTTAAAAGCGCTTGCACGCGTGACTGCCGATAGCTAGAAACGTGCAAAAGCGTTGGCCGTCGCAAGCATGCATTTTTGCAATGCATTGTCACGACGGGATACTTAAATGTCGGTGGTCGGATGAGCAAATGCGTCTTCTACACCGGTACGACTTATGCACCGGTGCGACTTATGTAAGTTTTTTTTCAGGAAAACTGCTATTTTGAGGGGAGTGCGACTTATACAAGGGTGCGACTTATAAACCGGAAAATACGGTAGTCTGAAGATCCTAATAACAAGATTTTACTGTAGGAAGCTTCAGCGAGCTTCACGCATCCATTTAGCGATGGACAGCATATATATTACGAGTAAGCAGCAGTCTATGCATTTAATTCACCGAATATCGGCTCACACCGCTCAGAAAACACGTCGCTGTGTACATTTGCATGCACATTGCCGGCTGCCTATCAACACTAGCACGGTAATGGTGCTGCCCCCTATTGCCCCATCTGGGGTAAATAGTTGTGGGACTTTCACAGGCCAACAACTTCTTTCAGGGATCGTACAGGTTTCGAAAGCGAAAATTGAAGAATATTCCAGGACCTGTCGTAGATTTTTCAAAGACTAAAAGTGGCAGGCAATGTTAAATTTTTTTTACTCTAAAATTTTCAAAAAATAACTTTTATTGCACTTATATAGTATATGCACATTACAGTTATTACAAACTGGTCTAGTCTGCACTTCAACTCACTTTAGTTTCACCGCTTGCACAACAGGGAAAGAGCCAGCACCAAAGAGCATGGTGCTGCCCTCTATAGCACGATCTGGGGGTAAATAGTTGTGAGACTCTCACAGGCCCACGACTTCTTTCAGGGATAGTACAGGTTTCGAAAGCAAAAATTCAAGAATATTCCAGGACCTGTCGTAGATTTTTCAAGAACTAAAAGAGGCAGGCAATTTTCAATCTTTGGCAGCGTCTCCTGCGCCGCACGACGCAGCAGCCAGCCCCACACAAAAGTGGCTCCTGCGCCGCACGGAAGTGAGGTCATTTTAAAGAACTATTATCTAAAGCTATTTAAATGTATAAATTACTATTGTATAATGCATTAAACTTACAAAAATTTTACTAAGCAGGTATTTACGAGTCAATCAGCCTATATTTGTTAATTAAACATATATTACAAACATTTTAAATACAGGGGGCACCATGGGCGCTGCGGCTGCGAAAGGTAGACAGTGCGAGATGATAGCTGCCTGCGATGTGTGTTGGTGGTGAAAATTCCCAACAAAATCGTGTACATGGCTTAGGCCTCCCCCAAGGAGGATCGGAAACCCTGTGTCTTCACTGCTTTATGTGATTGCTGGATGCTCAGTTCAACCTGGAGGTTGGAGCTAGCGCGGCCGCCCACTGCTTTCGCAGCTTCATCCGAGTGTGTGCGCCATGAAGTTTCTCAGAATGAAGTGTAGATTATTGTTGTTGGACATACCGCATTTTTGAGATTGCAATGAGTGGTATGCAGTATCATTCTGAAGTGTATCGCTCGTCGAACTTAGTCCCACGCCGCCGTCAGTAGAGAGCGTCGCTTAAGTTTCCGGCAGATCCAACATGTCCGGCCGCTACTCCAACTCAGCTGCCTTAGGCGCACTTGTAGCTGGTGCCTTCTTGTTTAAAGGCAGTTTTTTACGGCATCCAAAAGCTTGTAACGTCGATGGTTTCAGAAGAGAGTCTCCAAGCATCTTGATCGTGGTGAAGAAGTAGCGATGCAAAGCGGAAACACCGTGCTTCAAGAAGCACGCACGATCGCAAAAGCCGGCACACACAAACAGACAGCCACGGCAGCAAACGCAATGCACACACAAAAAAAGATGATGCGTCGGTCATGCCAGCCAATAGGAGACACAAAAAGGAGGCTCCCATTCAACGTGAGAGGCAATCAGCGATCTGAAAATGACCTTCATAAAACCTGTGACGGCAGCCATTCTGCTAGAGCAATGCCATTTTCAGATGATGCAAAATGTGCACAAAGAAAACAGCATCTTATCAAGCCCAAGATGGCGGTGCTCAGTCTGTTGCAAAGCACATAGCTTGCGCGAGAACTTCAAACAGATTTCGTCCTTTCAGGAGCATTTTAGTACTACCGGGGTGCATTGAAGGCCAATTTTATCGAGTCTCCCAACTGAATTCAGCCTTAGCAATTTGAGAGTAGGTGCTCAGATGCACAAACGGCCCAAAAAGAAGCTTAGCAAAAAATTGATATTTTGGCCATTTTTGACCATTCTAAGCCCGCATCCTCCCTTAAACATCAACACTTCAAAACTTGGGTAATCAGTTGTCAGTATTTAGTTACCTAAGCTAATGATAATAAAGTACTTTGAGTTGCTTATTAAGAAGACAATGAATAATACTACACCATTTCCCTGTTTTAACACATCCAGTTTCAAAGCTTGGTATGGGTTAGCTGAAACATTTAGAAAACACCTTAATTTTTTTGTTTTTTTTTATAAAAAATACCAGCTGAAGTCAGTGTGCAGTGTGGCGTCCACATGTTTATTGATTTGAATCTTAAGTGCATTGTGGTTATGGCTAATACGCAATGAACAAATCAGAACACACATTCCTTTGCAAGGCAGCACTATACCTTATTTCCTTGTACACTGCACATCTGCAACAAAAGCCTAATGAACAAAAGTGATTGGCATATGCACTGGAAGAATCGGCGGGCTGGCTTTTTGCTGCAACAACCTACACAAGCAATGCTAGTTCACTGCCACTCAGATGATAGACATGGCTTACACGCATTCAACTTACCCTGGTCAATTGTGAGCACTTGGCGCGTTTTCATGATGAGGCAGTTGTCTATGGGCAGCCGAGCATGTTGCACACCCTGTTCTCTAGCCAGTCTGTAGCACAAGCCCTAAACAATCAAGAAAGAAAAAAATAAAATTTCAGCATTTTCGAAGAAAATCCTGCACAATGTTGCTTTCACAACTTGCACAGAAGTACTAGACATGACAAACAGGGCATATTTCTTTTTTAAATACACATTTTTATAAATGGCCATGCGCCTGTCATCTTCATACACGAACTCTACATCAAGGCAGAAATAGCTTGCTGCAGCTAAAGTCATGTTGAAATGACTAAATAAAGAAATGATACTAAATATTTAGATCATTCATTTGAGGACAGTTGTTTATATAGGAATGCTGTATACTATCACAATTTACGGCACACCCACTTTTAACAAATGACTTAAATAGCACATAATTAGAGACATTTGTAATCAGTTGTAGGATTTAGAAACCAAGTGCGGAGGGCACAGAGGAAATGCGGGCCCTCTGTTATGACCAACCGAACTACTCACTATGAGGAAGCGACAAGGTTTTAACCCTTTTGAGTCCATTGTTGGCCCCTGCCCAACAACGCAACAAGGCTACAGGGATCCATGGTCAAGCACTAATGGACAAGTTCTTTCGAGGTTGATTCGCGTGCGCTTTTTCTCACTATATTATGCGCCACCTGTAAAAGAGTTAGTGAACTGTTTTTAGTTTATCTTTGAGTCTCTTAATTTTGAAATCGAACGGACAGAATGTGGAAAAAAAGTTTTGGACCACAGAGAGTCAATAAATGTGTATCAAAGCAACAATGTGGTCAGAAAAAATGGCAAGATGTGTGTAATACACATTTAAACTGCTTATTTTTTGCACGCCATGTGTGGTGCTCATGAACTTTTTTAACCTACAAAGAGGCATGAACTAGGAATGGACAATTAGTAAACTTCAGGTTCGAATGAATTACAGTAAAAGCTTGTTATTCGACACCCGTTACTTCGGAAATTCATATAATTCGGACGGCTCTATTGGTCCCGGCCAAAGTGCATGTTAATCTATGGGACTAAACCTTCGTTATTTCGTCGGAATTCGGCTCCGCACCGCTTTATTCGGACAAATGCTGACGGCTGCTGTTACACAAAAGTGTGATAAAGCAGCGCTGGCACCACTGGAGTGAAACCGAAACCTGAGTGGCATCGACATCATCATCAACTAGTGGAGGGGATCGTTGCGTCACCGAACGTCGGTGTCTTCTTTCTTCTCCACTCAGCGCCTCCGACGCCATTTTCCCTTGTGTTGTCGTGTCGGAACCATCTCTTCTTGCAAAGTTCTCTTTTTCTTCCATTGTGACCGTATTTGCATGCCACCACCATCGTGCGCTACAGTGATGGCAACGCCGAACAAGCGGCAGAACTACAACGCAAAGAACTTGGCGACTAAAGTGGAAATTTTGGAAGCACTGAAGAACGGCAAATCGCGACAGCAGGTTATGACCAAGTACAACGTGAAGCGGAGCACACTGGGAACATACGTGAAAAATGAACAACAGATTCGACAAGCCTTCGAAAGCGAGAAGTTTCATGCCTCTAGAAAGCGGTTGCGAACCGCAGCTCATCCCCAACTCGAAGAAGCTTTGCTACGGTGGATTACTGACTGTCGCAACGTGCATCTGCCTTTGAGCGGACCTCTCATCATGGCGCAAGGTGAGAAGTATGCTGCAATGATGAACATTGAATCGTTCAAAGCGTCAGAAGGATGGTTTGCGAGGTTTCGAGAGAGACACAAACTTGTCTTCAGGAGTGTGTGCGGCAAAAAGGCCAGTGTTGACGAAAGCGTGACCACCGAGTGGAGAAATGTGAAGCTGCTGGAGCACATCGCTGCATATGAACCACGTGACGTGTTCAATGCAGATGAAACTGCTCTATTTTTCGGAGCTCTGCCCGACAAGACGGTGACTTTCAAAGGGGACGCGTGCATTGGTGGCAAGAAGTGCAAGCAAAGGATAACTGTGCTTCTTGCCGCCAATATGACTGGCCATCTGGAACAGTTAAGAAAAATTGTGATGTCAGTCGGAATCTGCGCCAAAACGCAGAAGACAATTACAAAATACTTCAACAAATAAAGGTATGCTTCTGCAGCTTGATTTTAAATGTTGTTTTTCCTGTTCATTCGTTAATTCGGCATTCAGTTAATTCGGACAGTTTTTCCGGTCTCGTGAAATCTGAATTAACGAGCTTTTACTGTACAAACAAATCACGATTTGGCTGAATAGATTGAAATAGAATTGCATACATATCATACATTAAATCAAAAAATAAGCATTCTTGTCATGACTCAATAAGTTACACACTGTCTTGCTATCTATATGCGAATTCAATCTTTTGGTTTGAGGTGAAGTGGAGGAAAGCTCGTATTGTATGTATAGCAGGAATTGAATATCAGTAGGGTGCAATTCATAAGTGGTAAAATACGGGAGGTTTTAAAATTTTCTTTAACGCTAAGCCCATGTAACACTCTTTTAAACTACAACGACAAAAAAAATTTAATCACAGAGCACCTAATTTGTACATTTAGCCGTGGAGTAGTGCTTGGTGAAATACAAATTTCTCCGAGTGGTGGCTTCACGGCAGAGCGGTCCTACAATGCAGTGAAACCACCTTTCAAGAAGGTTACTTGTGTAAAACGTGTGTTTATTCGTTGTTTCCGAATACTTCGAGATTTCAGAAAGTTCACGCTCCTGTCGAAATTTGAATGCTCTAATAATGTCTGAATAATTGAAATGCTGGAATATTCGCTCGTGCCCAGGACAAAGCACTCTTTTTGTCTGTCTGCAAGAAGAAGCACCACTGCAGCTGCCCCAGAGGTTTTGATGCTGTACAAAATAAGAAAAGGTGGAAATTGGTTTTCTTGTGTACAGTGTGAGAAAAGTAACAGGTAAGCACCAAACTTCCCACACAAAGTTAACTCAATCCACTAGGGCAAGTACGGTTACTTGGCACTTCCCACGACAACACACTGCTGCCTTCATTCAAAGTACGTCCCAAAACTATGAGTCAGGATTGGCATGGAAAATGGCAGAAGAGGAGAAAGCAGAAAATAAACGTATGGAACACAAACAAGAGAAGAAATTTGGGAAAAGAAAAAGAAGAAGGGCGCCCGAGCACGCAGGATCAGAAGGCGGGCGCGTGGGGAAGAAGAATGTTGGCGAGAACGACGGAGAAGACGGCGAATGGATAGTTGAAGCAGCCCAGGACTGCAATGCGTCGAAAGCCGCCCGAGCCTCACCTCGGCGCACTGCTGTCGTCGTGGCTTCGGTCGTCCAGCTGGCGGACGGTGCAGCGAGCAGCCAGGAATGGTCAGCGTCACGCCGCCGACCTTGAACGAGCCCGGGCTCGCGGATACCGGTCTGCCACGTCAATGGTGCATGGGCCAAAGAGGTCTGGAACGTGCCCGGAGTACCTGCCGGCACCAGTACAACAACGGGGAACGACGTCCATGTTCCTCACATCTTTTGTGAAGTGCCCTCCTAACACCAGCGAGGACATCATTGCCAATGGCCGCGCCGGTACCGACGAAGACAGTGAGCGACTGTTGGATGTAGGCGTGACACACTCACCATAGGGGGCTGACACAGGGCGTCGAGTTGAGCCGGTAGTTAACGAGTGGACAAGAGAAGATGAGAGATGCACATGGGACTTAGTCATGCTAGGTATTTTTGTTCTGGGGGTCTAGATGTTCACCATTAGTTCTATTCTTCAAGTGAATGTATTTCTATCTGTGTTTCTGGTATTTGTATTGTTAAGTGGAATGAAGTGTGTTGTTGTGCCACACACCGAGTCGCCTTCCTGTGTCTAGCCTGCTGACTCAAACAAAACGCACCGGGCAAAATCCCCACATCGTGCCACCATGATACGATCATGAGGGACACCGTGGTGATAAGTTCAGGAAATTTCGACCAGCTGGGGTTCTTCAATATGCATATAAATCTACGTACAAGGGCCTCTAGCATTTCTACTCCTTTGAAATGTGGCTACTGTGGCCGGGATTCTATCGTTAGGGTCAGCCGTCAAATGTTACAACAACCATTAGATTACCGTCGTGGGTTTCTATCCAAAGATCACGACTTCTTCACCATGAGAACCTCACAGAGCAGCCGTGTTTCTAGCACACCCTGTGCGTTAAGTTTTGATACCTGAGCGTTAAATTGGATATGAACAGTTACGTCCAGTGTTCATAATTTCTAAATAAATGGGTGAATCATAAACTGTGAGACCTCCAATTTTCACATATAAGCGTCTGCTCTCAAGTTTATAAGTAAAAAAGTTAATTAAGAAGTGGTTCCGATGTAACTTTAGCAGTGACAAAGTATTTCCTCCTCAATGCACAGTTAGTGTACCAAGAAGACGTGCACTGAGCTGCCTGAATGTCATAACAAGTTTATAAGAAGCCTGTACTGTCTAATAAAAAAAACAAGTGTCTGTATACTTTTTCTTCGCAAGTATCAGTGGGGGGGAGAACATACACAAACCCTTGTTAAAGTACACATTTCCTCCAAATATGCTGGCTCCAAGGAACCAAACCAGATTTCAGGGAATGCTCAGATACCTTTGTAGATTTTTGTCATGCAATGACATCTACAGATGCGCGGCTTCTCAACTGCACTCCACAATAAGTACAGTGAATGCTGACACAAAGTCTCAAAGAAACTGAATAAAGAATGCCATTGGAGTCAATGTTTCCTTATCAAAATGTTGCCTCGCAATTCTGCAACTCCTCAACCCTTCAGGCCTGCCTCCATGTTTCGTGGAACTTGCGTCTTGTTTTTGTCTCTCACAGAGAACTGTGTTACACAAAAACACACACACGTACACAAAGATTACAATGTATAAAACACCAGAAAAAACAGAGACAAACAAAAACACAAATGACAAGATAACAAGGTGGCAAATGACTGTCGCCTTGTTTTCATTTTTCTTGTGTGTTCTATGCTGGTGCTTTATTCGTTTTGAAGATGTACCAACTAGCCCAGTTCAACACTTTGCTACTACCAACAAAAATGACACACATTAAAAACACACATAAATGTCACAGTGGTTAGGCAGGATGACTGGAAGGGAGTACATATACTTGTGTGTTCACAATGTTTAAAAAATGCAGTTAAAACTTGATCTAAAGAAACCGAGTTTTAGAAACTTCCCGATCTAATAAGAATTTCCAATCCTTGGCATTTACCCAGAGTTCAATGTTGCCATCAATACAAATTAACAAAAATGACATGGCACCAAATCAAATTTAACAAAGTTTTCCCAGAAGTATACATATTAAAATGCTGTGATTTATTTCTAATTTTTATCACATACCGATGAGTTTTCCTTTGGCCGAACGTTGTAACGCTGTCACGTTGAAACATCTGACAGCCAGAGTAAGAACTCTAGTTCTACTTTGATGAGGCCGTGTGCAGTGCCCATCCACTGAACAACAGACTTAACAGCTGGTAGCGCATTTATCATGTAGCGAATGCCGTTAGCAGTGATAGTGATCTTTTGTTGTTGTTGTTGCAAACTCTCCCAGAAAACATGGCGGTTGCTTCTGTCATATTTAATAGTTTGTGCAATGAATGGCGCTAATGGTCTCGTAGCCACTTTCTTGCTCTGCATGATGACTATCTGCAGTCATTCTTCTCGTATTTGCATATTGGCAGCTTGTGGCAAGTTAATGTGGCCATCTACCTCTCCTTTATTGCCCAGACACGGGAGGCTCCATGTCTGGGCTGCCCTCAGAGACCTTCTGCGCACGAAGGAATCTGTTCTTATGACAAGTGAAATGCTGCAGTGGCGTTTGGGCACCGCTACATGACAATTTTACATTTCGAAGGACTAAATACTCTCTCTCCCCTGTTCCCCATTTTACGAAATTCCTAATTTGATGAAAAAATTTCAGCATGGTCACCACTTCGTTAAATAGTTCAAACTGTATGCATTAAAAAGCTTTTTTTTTTCCGGCAATTATCTGAGCAGAAAGCGACGTATCTGTAGCTTTTGATCTGGGGTTTTTTCCCCCTTTTGTATGAGAAAAATAAGGACAATTATTATTATTATTTTAGATGTTTGAAAGTCACATTGATGTGCGCAAATGAGATAAACAGCTGACAAACCTTCTTGCGGTTGTAGTCAACCAGACCCCCAATGACATATGCCTTGCCTTCCTCAAGCTCGTGCAGCTCATTCTTGGACTCGCTTGTCAGGTAGACAACATTCTCTTTGCCAAAGCAGCTCACATGGTTGTCATCTGATGCATGCACCTGTCAAGAATTAGAAGGTCCAATAATACTGGAATCACACGACCAATGAGAATCAACAACAACAAAAAAAAAAAACACGCATTCATTAATCTACGGAGAAACTACCGATCTCGCTGTACTTTCAGCTTGACTGTATACATGAGTTGCTGAAGAGTTCGGCTGTCAGCGAAACGGTACACGTACTGGTAACAGAGTCGTTAAAAACTGCGACAAAGGCTTGTGGTAGGAAGGCCACAGTGTGCAGAAAGATCCCATACTGCAAGATGCACGTCATGTTTTGACTTGAACCAGAACACATCACTGGTGAGCGAAATACAAAAGGGTGCACCATTTTTTGTAGTCAGTTCTCATTTTGAATTTGTGAATTTCTTTGCACAGACCTATCTCCGAAATTCTTTTTACAATCATTTCAGAATTATACAGAAAATATGTTGCATGTAAAATTTGGTGGGTAAGCCCATTTATTTATTTATAAATACTGCAATTCTATTCAAAGACATTTGCAGAATAAGGTTAGATAGTAATAAGAACATAAAAGAAAACAAATGAAAAAAGCCAGTATACATAAATACATACATACATACATATACATACACACACACACATACAAAAAAGTATTCACAAAACATCTAAAACAAAAACAAAGCATTTAACAGGCTGTAGTACCAAACTAGTGAAACCTATGAGGGGTTACAGAACATAGGTGTATAAATTTATGCACTACTATTGAGGCTGGAAGGAAACAGAGCTAAAGATGACTGTAAAACTCTGACACTGGTTAGTTTGTTTCAGTCAGTTATACTTCATGGGAAGAATGAATATTGATTGATATGGGGGGTTTAATGTCCCAAAACCACTATATGATTATAAGAGACGCCGTAGAGGAGGGCTCCGGAAATTTCGACCACCTGGGGTTTTTTAACATGCACCCAAATCTGAGCCCACGGGCCTACAACATTTACGCCTCCATGGGAAATGCAGCCGCCGCAGCCAGGATTCGATTCCGCGACCTGCGGGTCAGCAGCCGAGTACCTTAGCTATTAGACCACCGCGGCGGGGCGAAAGAATGAATATTTAAAACAATTGTTACGGGTTAGAAAGGGCTCATGCTTTCACTGTGTAGCACGTCCAGATGTGAAAATGTAAGGATTTTTATAAGATTCACCTTGCTTGTCTTTTTATCAGCTGATATAGAAATTTTAGTCTGTTTAAGTGGTTCCTTAATCTAATCCAATCAGAGAAGAGTACTAGCTAAGACCCTCAACAAAGCCATGAGGTTGTCTAGACGTGACAGCCTCCAACGTGAACGTGCCATTGTTCCTTGTTTATTGTGAGCTAAAGGCGGACGGATTAGGAAGGAAGCGGGAGGCCAAAGAAGAGTGTTGGCTATGGCGTGCAGCCAACAGCAGTGCCAGAACATTCAACACCCTCAACCGATGAGCCATCGGTGCTAGAAGTCCTTTTCTGCACTTGGCTGGCCAAGACGGACCAGAGTGTGCACCAATTTGCTTTTTCGAAATTCTCCGACTTTTCCAGGTTTTCCATGACAATTTAAAGCAAATTCCATGACCGTTACCTCTGCTTGGAAAATTCTATGCACTGGAAACAGACCCGGAGTGGTAAAGAAATTAAGGCAATCCTATAGAATAAGGAAATAAATGTACTGCATGTGCTCAGAATGTTCCGAGTGCATGTGGTGAATATGAAGAAAATATGTATATCCAGCCAAAATTATACCTAAGCCAAAATGATAAGTTGGCTATTTGGCAGAATACAAACACACGAGTTAAAAAATTAACCGCAGCTGAAAGTTCGAAGGAGTCAGCGACAGTCCAACAACGTAGCAAATCTGCTGGGAAATGTGGAAGTAGCACCATCTCGTGGCATCTGTGTAAAAAGAAGACGTCTGAGTTTGGCCATACCACTACTGGAGTACATTCTAGTTCACTGCGATGGTTACAGCTCAGGTACAGTGGCTAGAATAGGGAAGTGTAATGAACGCGCCAGCTAGCAGTGGTGTCTTGGAAGGAAACTGCCAGGTGGCGCTGGCACACGTTTGCACATCATCCAAGGCGGCAATGTACTGTGAAGAGACGTGAATCACCCACGCGCGCCCGGGCAATGTGAAACATTTAAAATGTATTTTGTTGCTTGTGCATGGCCTCAAATGGCAACCAAGAAAATATGTTAATTAGATTCTGGGATTACAGAATGCCTACACGGGTGCGCGACTGAACTGAAATACTGACAGGGTGCAGAAAGTGAGCGCATGATAGCACTGTAACATTTTATCGATGTGAAGTGGTAGAAGAGTGAAACGATGAACTCAGTTGTGAGCCATTGCTTGCAACACCTTCCACAGCAAACCATCATTTCCTCAAGCACTAATCTGTAAATAAAGCCCCATCAGTCAACAATCATGGCTCGCTATACCTGTTTCTGCTAACGCATAATCAAACTCAGAGACGAGAATCACAAGCAGTATCTGTATGAAAACATTTCATTTTCTGCACACTGGGGTCATACATCATACAACGCATTGCCAAGTAGTGACTATCTGTTTACAACAATGCATTCTTAATAATTGGTCTCAGGTCTTTTTCTTTATCCCCACGAAAAAAAGTTTTATATTTCACAAGCGCCTCACAGAACAGTTTCACTTGGGCTGCAAGCCTAGGTGACACGCCTGAGCTTCAGGTACTTCCTCTTTTCAGGGGAAGGTTCTCGCTCCTTGTGGGGTGCCTTTTTGTAAAAAAAGCAAATAGGTGAGCAGAAAAAATTTGGTCACTTGATTGGTGAGGCTCGGACCATGGTGTGCACAGCTCAGGAGGAGGAATAAACTCTATTGTAAGAAACCAGCAGGTTTAGCTGGCCAGATTAGGCCTACCATGAAGGGACATCAAGGGCTTGCCTCGACACTGCCTCACGAGCATGCTGGGTTGCCCAGGTTTGGTCGTCAAGAGCAAGGCTCCGCAGAGCCTCATGTGACAGTCCACGTGACTTTTTTTTTTTTGCAAGCACGAAACAATTTAATTCAAGCTATCACTGTGAAGCTTATTGTAGCCAAACCACTTTCAAAAAAGTGATTTCAAGGACACCTACAAATGCGAAGAGCTTCCCCGAAAGGCCTACCCATAGCACAAAAGGAGCAGAGGGAGCGCCCCCCCCCCCCCCCCCCCTCCGGGAGGGGAGAGCTAAATCTGCTCTATACATTGACTAGGTGGCGGGACACTCTTTTAGTCACTAAAATGGGAGGCCCAAAATCTGCATCATACACTGATTTCACGGGGGGCACTAAAATGACCCCCCCCCCCCCCCCTACGGGTATCCTGCGCACGCCTATGGGCCTACCCCTTTCAATGCAGACGATTTCGTCATACACAGTGTGCTTAAAGTGCCGGGAGATGTACCTCTTGTCAAAGTGCAGCTCGCGAAACCACTCTTCGCCACTGCGCGAACACAGCTGTGTCCTTAAGAACGCCGAACAGTACATGCTTCTTTTTAGCCGACTTGTAGCCTGTAGTGCACCTCGGGACGAAGCAATGACTGTTTTTGCACCCTCAGAGTGCATACAGAAGCACTAATGTCAAAGTGCCATCGAAAAAAAAAAAAGGACGAACACGCCTAACGAAACTGTCGGAAACGTGCAAACAACATATAAATGACTGTGCACGCCCCCCCGCAGCTCCTCCGTAGAGGCTTCAGTGCGCTTCGTAGGTGCCACTTGCCGCTCGTCACACTTCTCTATTCTAGCCACTGTACCTCAGGCCCTTTAGGATGTGGATTGGATAGGATTCGATCAACCTCTATTTGCTGACTTTATACTATTTAGAATGTTGATTGGATTAGATATGATGTGACCCTATTTACTATTGATTTGCATCCCCACGTAAATTGTACACCTCTAATATATACTTTTCAGCAAAAAAATAATAACTATGCACTACTCGTGTATTCTGTGCACCATGCATTGACAATAGACAGTTATAGTTTACCGTTAGCATAATGGCAGAGGTTAAGGGAATGGCGTTACCGTACAGCAAACTGTTGGCTGACAGCGTCTTATAGTTTAGCAAGATAGCGTTTAAATACCTGCCAAGTTCAAGGATTCTGAATTTGGAAGATTTCCGCAACGGGGGGGCATTAAAAAACAAGATGAAACAAACAAAAAACATCACAAAAAGCAAAAGGGAATGGGAAGGGGGGTCTCAATCACAAGCGCCAACATCAGCGTTGTGGTCTTATATTGGCTAGGAGTGGCCGAACACTCGAGAGTAGAGTTTTTCACTAAGGTGAGAGTCTCAAAGGATCAACACAACTAGCAGAATTCATTTTAGTCAGAACAACTCGCATGTGTTTTCCTGGGACACACGTGATCGGACGGGACGGCGCAGCTGGCTGCCGCAAAAGCGCGTGTGAAAGCTTTGCTCATTGCTAGATTCTTTTGACAGGAACGCCAAAACACGTCTGGTCCCTTTTTATTGCGTTAGCAATTACCGTATTTTTCGGTGTATAAGTCGCGTTTTTTTCTGAATTTTTCGTGGGTGCGTCTTATACAACGATGCGACTTATATACATTCAAAATCGACTTGGATGCCACGGCTTGGGTGGCGCTGTTTACGTCAAGCGGGCATCAAAATGGCGTCTACGGCGCTTCACCGCCTTCTGCGATGCACAGAAACCACATTTAAAAACAAAGTAAGATTAACGGTAAGTTAACACGCTAAAGATAACGCAGCTATGTAGTTTTGCACAAAAAAATAATCAGAGGGGTGAAAATCTGGAGGTATTTTTTATTTTAAATTATAAATTATGGAAAGCAAGTTTGGATGTCAGAGCCACTTCCTTTACCGTCACTTCCGTCCGCCATAACGTCTTCATTGCACTCGCTGTGTCGCTGTTGCTGCGCGCATCTCGTGTGTTGTGTTGTGCATCGTAGCATAGAGCCGGTAGCGCCGTAGAACCTCGCGAACCATGGCTCCGCTTGGAAAGCAAAGTCG